ATTCTTTCGTATGTTTCATAATATAGTGCGTTCATCATCGCATCAGAAATATTACTTTGAAGTTTCTAAAGTGTTTCACTAGCAAGAAAAAACGCAAATTAATTTGAATGCAAGTTCTTTAAAGTTGATATCGATGCTTGTTAGAAGTATTACTACAATAATTACTTTGTTTCTATCTCCATGTGATTCATTTTTTTATGGTTTTGTAGCACATTCAAGGCTGAATCTTTGAGTAAAAAAGTCAGTCCGAAACTATGAAATTTGAAAAGAATAAAGAAATATTGAGGCCGCCATTTATGCTGACGCACCAGTTATGTTCGATTCATAAGAAAAAAAAATAAAACAAGCCGGTCCGGGTGGACCGAAGAAATACGTGGCTTGCCCGGCCCGGTGAAAATTTACCAACGGTCCGGGTCGGACGGCCCCTGTTCCCTAGCACTTAATCGAGTTTCCGGGGATATTCTCGGAACGCATCTAATCAAAAATAGAATTTTAGGGAATATTTCATACGCTATTGCCTTTCTTGTTTTTGATATCCTATCGGTTTATATGGATCCAAGAGTTAATATTTTGTTATTAGATCCATATTTAATAGTAAATATGAGCTGATACTATTTTTCTTTAGACTCATAAATAGTTAATGAGGAAAGTCTACACAAGACTTACATAAACAGAATATAGGTTCAATATATATATAAATGTAAGAAAAGTGAAAACAATTAAGGTATTTTTCTTTATAGACGAAGTATGAAAACAACAATTCTTTCTAATGATGTCAAACTGTGCAACTATTCAATCTTTGTTTTTTGTTCAGATTGCATTTTATTATTATGAAAAAAATAATAAGGCTTATTTAATTGAGAGCATGAAAAAAATTCCGATTAAATATCTATTGACATAATTAAATGAATTCTTGTGTTTGTTTTAATAATATTTGAAATTATTGATTACGTAAAAACAATGAATAGCCAATGATATTTAGTTTCTTGCTTATGCAATGTTTGTGTTTTTTGTTTTGAATAATATCTTACATGAAAATGCATGTTTGAACGGTGTTCATGGTTATAAAGCTTTGCAATACAAATAAAGTCTATGTTTAATCAATTTTTTTTTGTTATTTATTGCTATAATTCTATGTAACTATAGAAAATGGCAAAAAAATAAAAGGAGAAACCATTTCACATGCAATAAAAAAAGGTGCACGTCTATCTGGAATGATAATCTCATAATTATTTTTTTCGTGTATTTTACTTCTCTGTTGTTTTGTTTAGTGGTCGTCATTCATACAGTGTTTTATTGTTTTTTTAATCGTCGATAGAAACTAGTGTTGACTGCGAGTACGAGAAAATGTGTATGCATTGAGTGATTGACACTCGAGCGTTCAGGGCTTGTTAAACTACTGAGGCATGCGTCTCTTTTGTTAGTTATTGTTAATAATTTGTTAAAGATTATTCTTGGCATTCATGAATACTACTCATGGCTGAGTCTAATGTGTAAACTAAAGATTTAATTACAACCGGCTTATATATCCGGTTTTTGCGTCAGGAATAATGAACTAGGCGTTAATTGATATGATGAAACCACCAGTATCCTATTGAGCATTCAACCCTTAGGATGTTATTAGCAAAGAACCGACGAATACGATTAATATCATTATGTTAATGAAATTTTCCCAAGAAAAACGTCTAAAAGTAAATTCTCTTGTTCAGGCCTTCTTTTTGTTTAGCTTTACCTACTATTTTTTTTTTAAGTTTTTTTTTTAAAGAACTCGTTAAATAATAAGTTTAGCATTAAGAATAATATCAATTTTTATAGTAATAATACAAATTCTAATAATGACATGAAATTGAATGTGTCTGTTGTAAAAATGGTAAGACTAAGTTCTGCTTCTCTTTATCGATGTTGTTCAACTCTTCGAATCTATCATATCTCGGTCTTTTGATTTTCACATTGATTGTTGAGTAGAGCGAGAAAATGCCTTTTGACTACTTGCCGTCACATTTACATTGACAGCTTAGATTATGACGAATCTTTTAATTTATAGACAGGTTTATCAGTGACATATTTTGGTTTTTTGGATTAATCCATATTGTTAAAGCACACAGAATTACCTATAGGACAAGTGTTTTTTTGCTTATTTGAAGCAGATCTTGAAAGTCATAAAGCATTTTCAATCGGATGACACAGTACCAATCAATTACGAATTAGAAAAAGTTTCAAAGTTTCAGATAGAAAACTATAGCTATAAATGAGCATCATCTTCAGTAAGATAGCTTCAAAAATAAAATGAAAACATCTCTCGTGCAATGATCAATGTCATGCCGACTACCGATTTTGGCAAGACGCTGATAAAGATAATTAGAGTACCAGCAGATACGATTTGCTTTTTTGTTTTTATTTCAAAAATATTAGCTTCGTACAAGTAAAATAGATTCAAAATTCGAATAAGAACAAAAACGACAATAAATTTGAACCCTTAAGAATAAACATACTTAGGTTAAGAAAATTTGTTCATCGGTACCTTAGGTGAAATTAATCTTATTAAACTATAAAGTAAAGCTAATCGTTATTCATAGTTGAATTTGTAATATCTACAAAGAAAATGACATTCAAATACTTACATCGTGTCCACATCTAGTCAAGAAACTGATATTCGGTAAAAAATGATTTGAATTCTATCTACCGTTATCAGCCACGTTAAAAAGTTCTGTTTACTTAAATCTTCAGGTTAGATTTCCACTTGAAAGTTATTCTTTAAGAGACTAAAAAGTAATGCTTTACTATCTTAGGTATCATATCCAGTTCTTACATGAATTTTAAATGCTTTATGGCCAGCATAGTCCATAGCCTTTAAATCAATCATTTCTATAGAAAAAGCGATTGTACAGTTCACACCGTTCCCTCGTAAGATTATGCACTCAAACATTGCTCAGATTAAAAATATCCAAATTTCTTCTATGATAGATTTATCACTTTCATAATTATTAAATATTTTTATCTCTGTTGAAACATGCACGATAGAGCAAACCTATACATGAGTGTCGAGGGCATAGCTTTGTATAATAGACATCATAGTGTCACTGAGATATTTGTTTTCTTTTTCAGACATGCAAAGGGAGAAGAAAGACACGCATGCTTCATCTAGGCCTGTAAACATTGATTGAAGAATTGATTATTACTTACTACATATTTTATTGTTCATTTCTGTGAGCTATTATTGAAAAGATTATTCCGCGCTATTGCTCTTTTTCTTCTTCCCCTTTTGTTCTTTCTCTCTTGTTTTTCTTTTTTTCCCTAGTGTATGCTGAATTTTTCTGTTTATTGATGCATTTTCATCATCGTCACCATGGAGGAGAGCCTAATAATTATGGCTCAGAGTCGTTGAAAAACGATCGCGATGTTGGCCTCTCATTTTTATATCACGCAACAAAAACTGGCACACGCTTGAGTTATCCAGAACTTACAACATATTATTCATTATCATATTTACCAATGGCATACTTATCGAAAACGAATGCACGTTCAATTCAATCGAATTTTCAAATTTTACTTTATAATTTTCTTGAAAGACCGGCCGGACTAAAATGCTTTTTTTATCATTTTTTTGTGTAGGTTTATCGGCAACAAAGATGCTTTTTTTTGAACGAATGATTTTATTTTCAAATTTAGATTTATGGTGGTGCTTGTTTGCCTAGTTCTATCAGTATTATCAACCATTGAAAGGTTCTCATCAGCTATATCAATACATGTTTATTGGATTGAAATATTTCTTGTTGTTTTCTTTGGCGCTGAATATGCTTTAAGACTTTGGTCAGCCGGCTGTCGAAGTAAATACATGGGCGTAGCAGGACGTTTTCGTTTTGCACGAAAACCTATTGCTGTGATTGGTATGTATAGAGATGTATGAACGAAATGAATGACTTTTTTTGTTATTTGCATTGTAAAGATTTAATAGTTATCGTTGCATCAACGTTGATGATAACATTAGCCACCGATAGGCAAACATTTGCTGCATCAGCAATTCGTGGTGTTCGATTTTTACAAATTCTACGTGTTTTACACGTTGATAGACATGGTGGCACATGGAGATTGTTAGGAAGCGTCGTTTATATTCATCGACAAGTAAGACAAATTCAAGATTGAATATCAGCACCTGATTTGTTTTACCTGTTGAAGGAATTAATTACAACACTGTATATTGGATTTCTTGCGTTGATTTCTTGTAGTTATCTCGTTTATATTGCAGAAAAAGATGAAAAAGGTGAAAATATTCGAGGTGCAAAAGGAAACGATAGTCATTTCGAATCATATGCTGATGCATTATGGTAAGTGTAACGGAAAAAGAAAAAGCCAATTTTTTAACAAAGAAAAGCTTAGAATTGTTTTTATTTAGGTGGGGTGTTATTACTATAACAACAATTGGGTTAGTAGAAATTCCCGCGAACTTTTTTTCTATGATTTATATTCTTGTCTACGATTAGATATGGTGATGTTTATCCGATAACATGGTACATAGTAAAACCTTTCCGTTGATAAAAGTCAATGAATTTGTTTGGTTGTATTAAGGGTCGGAAAAATAATTGCAGCTTGCTTTGCCATATTTGCAATATCGTTTTTTGCTTTACCAGCTGTAAATATTTTGTAGAAGAAAATATAAACTGTTACCTAATTTATATTAAAGGGTATACTTGGTTCTGGTTTCGCTCTTAAAGTCCAACAAAAACAACGACAAAAACATTTTTCTCGACAAATTCCAGCGGCAGCAACATTAATTCAGGCAGCATGGCGTGTCTATGCAAGTGCGCCTGGTTCATCGTGTGTCGCGACATGGAATATATATTTGCATGTTGGTGATCCAAATCTGTCATCATCAAATAATAAAACATACTCAACAACTAATCAAACTTTCGGTGGTATCATCACAGAAGAAAAAAAATATTTCGTTGGATTGAAGAATAAATTGTTTTTTTTCTTCTTTTCACGATAGAAAAAACGGCCGAAAAACTTCGATATCTACGTTTATCGGGTGCAGTACGAAAAAGTCGACCAAAACGGAATAGTCAAGCATCACCGAGTCTTTTACAATCACCAAGAATGAGCGATACTCGAAATTCAACTTCATCAACATCGAATACAACAGGTATAAGAAATGGAAGAATATTATTCTTTTTTTGATATGTTTCTCTTTTTGGTTCTTATTATTGAGGATGCTATTTAATATCGTCAAACGATCATGATGATGAAGATTTTGAAGAAGAACCAATTAAACTTTGGTCGTAAGTATCGAATCGTAATAGGCACGGAAAAATAATTATTTCTTGACGTTGAGCTTTACATTCGCGGCTTATTTTAAACAAATTTGATTTGGAAGAGAAGAAAAACGATGCTAGTCTGTAAGAAGAGTATAGAAGCATTATTATGCTCACATTTTATCAGATTAGATAATTTCAATTAAAGATATAATTAAAAATTTTTGGATTTATTACTATTATTCAGGGTCAAATAAAGCCTTTGTTTGCTGTAATAAATATTCATTTATATAGCTTATAGATAACTTTCTAGTCTTTCGGAAATTATAAGTAGAGGTATCGAAATTCAGCAGAACTATTCTCATCAAAATAAAATTATTTTCCTAAAGACATAAGATCAAAATGCGAGGGGAAAAGGCGGATTTGGGATTTTCAAAATCCCAAAATCCAAAACGTGAATGATGGAATTTCCATCTGAATTGTTTTCGATGTGTAAGTTTCATGATCCTCAGAATATTCTAAAATTTTCAGCGCAAACAGATGTTTCCTTCTCAAGATAATGAAAGCGCAAGAAATGCTCATTTCACGGCACGGTCAGAAAATCCAGTTTTTTTTTAAATTCAATATTTTAAGAAGAAAACACTTGCTCGAGTTGAAACTTGTAGAATCTTCTATGAACCATGAAACCTATATATGGGAAGAATTTCAGGTCGAAACTACGTCATTCACAGGGGAGGGGGGAAATACTTTTCAATTTTAGGATTTTCAAAATCCCAAAAATCCGCCTTTTCTCCCTTGTCAAAATGGTTGAATAGAAACAAAAAGTTTCTTATATTGCATACGAACACAACATAAGGAAATTTAATCACAAACATCAGAGGAATGCATCTGTAAAAAGCCAACATGTATGAACAGGCAATTGTTTTTATTATACGTTAATAAAATAATATACAGAATGTACCGTCTATTTTGACAGTACATTTAAGATTTTTTTGTTTTTAGTTATTGCAATCTAGGGCGACTTACTTCTTTCGTATGCATGTGACATTATTACGCCTCTTTTCGAGTAGTACTTAGAAACAAAGAAGCACTTAAAAAATAGAAATGAATATTATGATTGAGTCCTGATTGGCTTTTTTTGTTATTATTCTATCAAGTTTGTCGAGGGAACGTTTCTGTTTGGTTTAATTTAATTAGTCTTTTTTCTGTTTCAAATTTATTGAGAAATTAAAATTCATGCATGTGTGACTTATTCAAGTCAAATGAACTTGTGATAGCTGTTTTTAATCACAGTAAGATAAATTGACTTTAGGTATTCGTATATTCATAAAATTGCGTGAAGTTTTTCTTTCCATCAGAATATTTCCTGGCATTTATTTATGTGAGAAAGGCCTCTCTCAAGTTTAGCATGTTCTTTGAGCTAGTATTCTATTTTTGAAAATGACTATAGAAATTGAATTGTTAGAAAACTGCCGAGCTTCGACGATATATTAGTATGATATCAATGAAAAACGATGTCATTCAATGGGAAAATCTGCTTTCGTTTTGTTTGTTATCGATCTCTATCGAATCTCAGTGTCAATCAGGACATTTTGTATATTTACTTTTATTATTTGTTAAAAATTTGTCAGAATGTAATTAATGCAAACAAGATTTCCTTGATCTGTTTCTATAAAAAGTTTGTTAACTATAGTTCAGAGATGAAGTGAACTTATTTGTTCGAACAAACTTACAGAAATAATGGATCAGTCTAGTTTTAGACGAAGAAGAAGAAGAAAAGATTGTCCAAATCAGTCATGAATGATTATTATCGTAAGACTTATAAAAAAAAACAGGAAACTTTCTGAACTTATCCATTCTATTCTCACGAACAATTCTTTATGTTTGTTTTATTGACTAGTTTAACTGAAGATCACAAACGAATGATTCGTTGTGTTCGTAAAATGCAATTAATCGTTGCTCGTAAACGTTTTCAAGTAAAAAATAAACATTTTCTATTGTTTTCTATCTATATTAATTTCTTTCAAATAAATTATCTTCTAGCAAGCACGAAAACCTTATGATGTACGTGATGTACTTGAACAATATTCACATGGACATATTAACATGATGATGCGAATTAAAGAACTACAACGAAGGTAAAGTGAAATAGAAGTAAAAAAAGAACTATTTCATAAGTATCTTTTTTCTATTATTAGACTTGAACATAGTATTGGTAAACAACCACCATTAACTAATGAGGATCGTTCGAAGCTAACTGTTCTTGCACGTATGCAACGTGTTGAATGTGCAATTATTGATATGAAACAAACCATGGACAAGATTTATACTTCATTAAAGCGTATAGATGATAGACTCCATCATGTATCGATTAGCAACATGTCTCATCATCGATCAGTGCGATCAAATAATTATCATGCAGGTGTAAAATTTTCTTCTGTTGACCAAGAAATTCCATGATATTTATGTGTATATATATATATATATATAAGGTGCAGGCAATTCGAAATTTGAACAGGAATTTATTTCAGCGATATTCTAGCATGGTTGGATAGAGCTCGTCGATATATCCCTAAGAATGCGCTTTAAAAATTTTCCAGGCAGAATTTTGTGTCACAAACAATTTGAAAAACTTTCATATCAAAATAAGGTGTTTTTTTTCCGACTACCGATGGTGCAGTGGTATGTGATCAGATTTAAAACAGTTGTTGACTTTTGAAAATTGTTTTTCCGACGCAGCTGACCGTGATGGATTACAAAAAAGAAGTTAGAAGCGATTGACAAAGTGAATTCACTGGACAGAGCAGTGTATCATGAACATGTTTTTGGCAGACTGCAAAGAAGCACCTTACAAATACATCAACCGTCCACAGGTGCATCTTTCAATGGTTCTTTTTATTTCATTACAGTCAGCATAAGTATACGAGAAAAATTATGTGTGGGTTTTGGGCGGCGTTCTTTCTTCGCTGAGAAATAGAATATTTTCTCGTATATGAGTTATTCCATATGAACCATGACCGCCTATTGTAGAGTTAGCTAAATAAAATATTATAAGATGCTGCCCGAGTTACAATATTCTTGTAGAGAGAAGAAATCTGAACACGTTTGATGCAAACCTTTCGAAAAATATTCCTCCGTTCTTTAGCTACTAGCCTGTTCTCTATCGAAACTATATTTTGCTCATAAAAATTAGGTAACACTCCCTGAAATGAGACCAACTTTAGAAATGATAAATGGGCTCCAAAACCGTTAACATCTTACATTGAAACACAATCGAAAAATCATAGGAAGAATTAAGAAAACTGACTTGGATGGCGGCATGGAAGTTTGATTCAATCTTTTGAGATAAACCCTGGAGGGGAGTACGGGCATTTTTCGGAAAAAATGTTTTTCCATTTTTGAGTGATGTTTCCATGCAGCGTCACACAGGATGTTATGGCTATCAATAATTCATTGAAATTACTTCGTCGAAAGCAGTTTCTTGTAAATTTGCCAGCATTTCTATACGTTTCTTTTTGTGAGACAAGCATTTTCAGTATTATAGTAGCTCCCTTTTTGTAGATACGCTATGATTACCCAAGTGAATTTTCTTTTTAAATATGCAGTACTAGGTCTGTTCTAACGATATATGCTGTTATTGCGCCTATATGTTTCGTTTCTCAGGAGACTAAGCCCTCTGAGAACCGTATTTTTTGTCAAAAGTTTGATTATATAGACGCTCTATGTAGCGATAGAATCTGTCTAGTGAACTGAAAACTTCATCATGACGACTAGCTCATGAAGTGTCTTCCTGTGAAGATTAAGATTTCCCTAATATTCTTCTTTGAGCAGATGCGCAAATACAGAAGAGCCAAAAATACTATCGATTTTTAAACCATACTCCGCTGGGAAAAGGTTCAATAGCTAAAGAACGGAGGAATATTTCTCGAAAGGTTTGCATCAAACTTGTTCAGATTGCGTCTCTCTACAAGAATATTGTAACTCGGGCAGCATCTTATAATATTTTATTTAGCTAATTCTACAATAGGCGGTCATGGTTCATATGGAATAACTCATATACGAGAAAATATTCTATTTCTCAGCGAAGGAAGAACGCCGCCCAAAACCCACACATAATTTTTCTCGTATACTTATGCTGACTGTAATGAAATAAAAAGAACCATTGAAAGATGCACCTGTGGACGGTTGATGTATTTGTAAGGTGCTTCTTTGCAGTCTGCCAAAAACATGTTCATGATACACTGCTCTGTCCAGTGAATTCACTTTGTCAATCGCTTCTAACTTCTTTTTTGTAATCCATCACGGTCAGCTGCGTCGGAAAAACAATTTTCAAAAGTCAACAACTGTTTTAAATCTGATCACATACCACTGCACCATCGGTAGTCGGAAAAAAAACACCTTATTTTGATATGAAAGTTTTTCAAATTGTTTGTGACACAAAATTCTGCCTGGAAAATTTTTAAAGCGCATTCTTAGGGATATATCGACGAGCTCTATCCAACCATGCTAAAATATCGCTGAAATAAATTCTTGTTCAAATTTCGAATTGCCTGCACCTTATATTGATTGTCGTTTTTTTTATTAGTGTCCAACATGAGTATGAGAATAAATGCATAGTCGAGCAACGACTCTGAATGCAATATATTTTTTTGATCAATAGAGCATCTAAAAGAATCAGTAATGTCTTTTCGGCAAACAATTCAATTAGACTTTTTCACCAAAAGACAAGAAAAAGATGAAAGAATAATTTCCAGTGATTTTTAGTATATTTTAAGGATCAGAAACAAATAAATTAGCAATTCTCATTTTGTCTGATTTATACAATTCATAAATAGTCGTTGGTCTTGTTTTACATGATGATGGTCTTTGATTTTGTCGACTCGTTCTATCTGATTGAGGTAGATCTTCACGAATAGGTAAGGAAGATGTTAGTTGTAGTGGAGGTCGTTTTCTACTAGTCTGCATTTGTCCCACAATATCATCACATGAATGTGTTCGACGTTTTAATATTGGTTTTCTTTTACGTTCATAATATTTTGATATCGAACGTGATAACGCATTGGCTAATTGAATATCATTTGGCTCAACAATAATTCTTGTCGGCTGAGATTCATCACCGGTTGTTGGTATTTGTGACGATAGACATGGTGTTAAAAGATAATTTGATGTTTGAGAACAATATTTATATGAACTACTTCGTTTAGCACGTTGATTTACATTTGAACGTATTGACGATGAACGTAATGATGTTCCACAATCGGAAAATGAACTTTGACGACCAAGAATAATTTCTCCATTATTATTAATAAGATCGTCATTATCATCAAAGAGTACTTTATTATTGGGATTATGTGGAGCTGAGTTAATTTGGTTACGATTTTGCCGAGAAGAAAAACGTTTAAATGAAAAAAAACTGTAAAATAGATAGGAGATGAGAATAAAAAGTAGAAATAATAAAAACAGTGCAATGAATAAACCAGTTCTATCAGCCGCTACTTGCACAGGTGTAAGAGGCATGCGTTCATTCTTTGTTAAATTTGATTCAATCATTGTTATATTCGATACTTAAAAGAGAACAAAACGGAAAAAAAAAGAAAGTTCTTTAAAGTACTCGTATTTTCAGTAAAAGAAACTAATCTTTATGAACATTGTATAAGAATGAAAAATTGACCATTTATTTATTTCCTTCCGGGAAAAGTCACTTATTGACTCAATTATTCTTTTCAAAAAGAAAAAATCGCCTAGTGCGACGACAATTTCCTTACATAGAGATTCAACAAAAGGGAAACTTTTCTTTGATTAAAAAATAGAAGAAAAACAAGAAGAATATTTATACTACATTTCATTCTTTTGATGAGGCTTATATTAGGTTTTTCAGGATAATTTTGTTTTTTCATGTAGACATCTGCCAGATATCGATCAAAAATGACTGTTAACTATGATTATTCGATTAATTACTTTTAAACATCAACATATTGTAAAGTCGTAATTCACCTACCCACCAGTTGAGACTCCATATAGCTAGCGGCGATGGATAACATCTAATATTGTGCATCAATTTTTTCTTGCTGCTGGCAAACTTTCAATAATATTCTTGCTTTTTTCTCTCCTGCTCTAGTATAATATAATAAAAACTAAGACAACCGCTTCGCCCCTCATCAGTCTCTTTTCTTTATCTAGTTTCATCGCTAACGGCTGTTCGCGTTCTCTCTCCTTCCGTTTTTTTTCCGGTCGGCCCATTTCATCGTATCTGGCTTTCTCTCTTCACCCTTCTTCGCTCTAGTTTTATTCTTTATGAGCGTACTCCTTCTTTACCAGTACTACTACTGATGATGCTGATGTTGGTTCTTCGTTCTCAACATTAAATGGATGTATTTGATTACTTCACATTGAGAAGAAAAGCATGCAGACCGGAGGATTCTAGATTTTTCAGTTAATACTATAACAACATACATCTTCATCGTTGATTCTTGATCGATAAACACTTGAAAACGAGCAAGTAGCACCAAATAAAAAAGAGAACAACACGACATCGAAATTCAACGCATAGCTTTAATCAATAAAAGACATATCTTGTAGATCGAATGAGTTACAATGTCGATAGTCGTGCGCTTTATGGCAGTTAATTCGATCTTAACAATGACAATACGATGTTACATATATATCATAGATGGAATCTAAGATTATTATATATCACGACAAAAAACATGCATACACACACACACATATATATGTATATATATATATAGATAGATAAAGATAAACTGATTATTAATAAAAACCCTTGAAAGAATATTTCAACTTACGACTCGTCAAGATCGTAAGTAAATATCTAACACATAGGCAATGAAATTGATAGATTTGTTTTTGTTTATTCAGATTCTTATTTATTAATAATAGAAACAATAGAATTTCATTTTATAATAAGCTTTAAATTCGCAGGGATAGGTAGAAAATTAGCAAATAAATTTGTTTTTCTCCAGATGTTTTGGTAACAAAATCGAATCAAATTATTCGATCAGTATGCAAGTTGAATTGGATTATTTATATGTACCATATGAAAATTTTCCGGTTGATTTAAGTCATCATAGAATACATTATCATTCCGTGATTAAATAATTTTTGTTGATTCTTTGATTGAGTAACTGCGTAGTTTCTATATAGAACAGAGCTCCATATCGAGACCAATCTAGAATAAATTGACTTTCAAGTTGATTAACGAACCTTGTGTTTCTATGAACAAATCAATCAAATTTTCAATGATGATTATAAAAACAAAGAAAAAGAACAACTTATAAAAGAGATTTATGTTAATAATTTGTTTTACAAAATATTTGAATTATTATTATCTGACACTTGATATATTCTAATACACCGAGTCAAAAGTAAAATATGAAAATGAATCTAGCTATTGATTGACTTAATAATGGAAACTGATTTGGTATATAAGGATTGAATATCATATCTTTGAGAGGATTTGAAATAAAATTATATATATATATGTCTAGACAGAAACATATTCCTGCTATCTTCTGTTGTTAATATGCAATCATATGACAAGAACAGTGTACTGTGAGTCTCTTGCATTCTAAATGTAACTTTGTCATATTTTTATTTTTATGTTGTTGTTGTTGTTGTTGTTGTTGTTGTTGTTGCTAATTGTCTTGCGTACTAAAAAATTAATCGAATCATTTTTTTTATGATAAAACCTCGCCATATTCAAACCACTCTGAGTCATAAAGCTGAATTTGTTTTTTGCTATTTATATTTGTATGAAAAAAAAAATCACTGGTAGTTACACAATTTTTATGTAAAAAAGAATAGAAGACGGGGCATATTTTTACTAAATACACATTAAAAAGCTGTTTGAGAAATATTATAGAAATTCGATTATCAATATTTCCAGCAAAACAAAACAAAATAAAATAAACAAGAGAAAACCAAGTATAAGTTCAAGTACCTATGATACCTTGTATGAATGATTGAAACGCTGACACTCGAGTATACAAACTACTTTGACCACAACCTTTTCCGGAACTAACTATTCCAGTACATGTCCATAAATTATTAACACTAGTCATCAATGGACCACCACTATCACCATAGCATGCATCGGTACCATCATAGCCAGCACAAACTTGAATGCTACTTTGTGGAGTGCATGATGCTGAACTACCTTGAACTTGAATAACACCTTGAAGTAAATTATCCGATATAGTCGTACTAGATGATGATGTTACTCCCCAGCCGGCAATAACGGCATGTTCACCAATACTCGGCAACGACGTGTCATAGGTTAAACAACATTTACCGACTGTTGATGTTTGATTAAATGGCGATTCAAGTGTCAGTATAGCTATGTCATTTATATAGCCTGATGTTGAATAACTGGGATGACTTGTAAAATTCGCCACAATTCGAGATTGACTACTAGATCTTGAAGAAAGTGTTTGTATGCCAGCATAGACTGTTGTTCCACTTGCTGTTGTACTCGCTACACAATGAGCAGCTGTTATAACATGTTGATAAGTTACAAGAAATCCTCCACAGAATATGTTACCATCATTCAAGTAAATCGCTACGATCCATGGCCATGAGTAAGCTGTTGCTATATATCCTTGGATTATTCTTGGCGTTAGAAACGATGGTGTTGTTGAAGCACACCCACATGTTCCTGAACCACCATAAGCACAGGTTACTGTAGGTGCTGATAGGATCGAGTAAGTTGTAGTCGTAGCAGTACCCCCATTACTACTGCTTTTTCTCGATAAACCAACCCCAAGACCGACACCAAGTGCAATTCCTATGGCACTGAGGAGTAACACACCAACAACAGCAATGACAACAACTATAATAACGATCTTAGTATAGGACCTTTTTGCTGATCCGGCTATAGCATATCCAGGAGCAGGATAATCCATTTAGTTTTCTAGTGGCTAGCTACACTGATTTGTTATTAAAGTAAATGAATGTTGACTTTTTGTGTATGTTTTTATGAAATGTTTTGCTTATTCACTATTGCTTCATGACATGTCCGATGTTTTTATAGTTGAATTAGCATTCTGCTTGCTTTATTTTTATACTATTTTGATTTTTTTCATGATATCCTCGTGCAATGAGTCATTATGTGTTGCTCTTCTAAAGTCATTGTCCAATATTAGCAATACAGTTGAATTTTAGTGTAAAAGGCAAAAATATCGAGAGGGAGCAAAATATGAAAAGGATGTTAAATTTTTTTCTTTTCTGCGAGTCACACAAGTCACATATATGCACCTGACGGTTTCGGTTGATTTCACTTATGTCAAGGCTATCATATGGCGAAGAGAAAAAACTTGTTTGCTAAAAGTTTTCTTATTGTTTACTACACTTTTGACATATGCCTGATTGCGAACAATATTTTTCGAAAATACAATTTCGTAACATGTTTACTATTTAGCGCAGTTAGCCCCCGTTTATTTTTCATGCACAACAAAAAAATAATCTCAAGGTCTGAATTTATTTTTGTTTATGATTCAGAGGTAAAAATTGTTTTCTTGATTAATAGTATAATAAAGTATGTCGTTCACTTTTATTTTTCTACATCAAACACTTTATCTGTAATCTGTTAAGAGAATTGCTTGCGTATTGAATCGAAAGTAAGCTTTATCGGATAGAAAATTAGACATATATATATATTTATTTATTTACATTATTTCAGGATATTCATTAATATTAATTTATTTTTATATTTCATTGTAAAGCTTTGCGTTTCTATAACACTAAAGCATGAGTACTTTCACCTTATTCAAGTGATAATAATGATTAGAAAGAACAATAAATTATGAATGTAAAAATAAACGTAGACAAGACATCGACAGTTTCTTTAATGACACTCTCTAGTCGTAAATGTCGAATGTCTATAAAAACTGAATAAGAAAATATTATGTTCTTCTTTTTTAATTTCATTATTCAGCTGCGTAATAACAAATCTGCACTATTAGAATAAATCAAAACTAAATCGAAAAAAATAGATAGAAAGAAACGTTAAGTGCAATGAGGTAAAACGACCAATATTTAGTTATGCAAAATTTCATAAACGTCCTAATTCAAATACATTGGCGAAATAAATCATTTTTTCTTGTGAAAAAATTTATTGTTTTAGTTCTTATAATAGCTGTGAAAATTTATATCAAAACTTTTTCTATATCAATTTTTTTGGAAATTAACCAAATCATAATTGAACTAGAGAAGATTGCTTTCAACAAGGATACGATTATAGTATACTTACAAGCGAATTGCCTAACTGGAGCTATCAGAAAATGCTCGTTTCGTAACACTTAATACACATTTATTTCATTATATTTTTCCTCAATAAGAATAATAGTAACAGCAGGTATCTTCCACTTAAGAATAGAAATATGATTAAACACCAAAAAAACATTTTTCTGCAGAAAATAATTACAAAAACATTTGTAGACGTTCCGATATGATGTTCTATCATATCCTAAAAGACATCGTTAAGAGTTCTCAGACATTTTTCTAATGTTATCACTCAATTCAATCCAAAAAGAAAAATAAATACTATATTTAGGCATTCTAAATAATCAAAAACATTTTTCGTTTGCTTAAGATTGTCGCTTCGCGAATCTAATCGTAAGATTAATTTCATTATATCCTTGTTGAACACAATTTTCTCTTTTTCACATCGCTACAAAGATTCTTTCTATATTTTAAGACAAGAAAAGCAAAGTTGAGAAATACTTCGTCGAATAATGTTTGCACTCACTTCACCTTCAAGCTATAGAGAGTAACAGAACGAACTCATAAACTGTGGTTATGATAAATTACTATTCTAAAAATCTCTAGAGAATGTATATGCCATTGACAACTTAGACATGATTAAAGTGTGGCACGCTTTATGCGAAATCCTGGCTAGCATATTCCTGGCCAATGAGTGAACAATATTAATTAGGACAGAAAAATATAATCATAATCTTTCTGTTTATTAATTGAAGCTAATATTTTTTTTTTAATTTCTATCTTTTCAAAATCGTAACTAGTCTTACAAGATTTGAAATTAAAAGCAATAAAAAAAGACTTTAAAGATGTACTTCACACCAAGCTCGAAGTGCATTCGTGCATAACCATGCTGAATGCGTTGATAATTGTACTTTATTATTAAGCCAAGTAGCAAAATGTTGATCATCTTTAATCATTAAATAAAAACCAAGTAGACGTCGTACTGTTGAAAATCCACATTGAGCTAACTGTTGAGCATATTTAGTTCCAATACCAGGTAAAGCATTTGCTGCTTTGATTGCAATTGGTTCGCTAATGAATATTCGATGCTTAACGCTACCTATTCCCGATAGAGTCGATAACTCTTGTTGGCCATTTTCGACTAATGAAATTATTGAACCATTTGAACTTTTTTTCGTAGTTGACAAATGATCATTGGCCTTTTCATCATTATTATAGAATAAAATAGATGATGGACTACTAGATTGATTGTTATTATTAGTATCAAATAATAGATCATTATTTGATTCTTGTTGTTTGTCTGGAAATATTTCGTTTTCTACTGTTTGGCATTTGTCGCTGTCCTTAAGAAATAAATTTTACTAATTTGCTGAAATTTGTTTTTTTTGTTAGAATCTAACCTCACGATGTTGTCTACCAAGTAAATATGCTTTTGTAAGTTCATTTAAATATTCTTGTTCATCAATATTTAACGAACAATTTTGTTTGTCAAGAAATGATTTCAAAAAGCATAAACAAATATCTTCAGTTTTACGTAATGCTGTATTTGAAGTTGTTAAACTTGGTGATTTTGTTTTAAATGATTCTGTTGGCTAAAAAGACAATAAAACATAAGATTTAATAATTCAATAGAATTCGATTCTAAAAATAAAACAAACCATTAACTGATGAGATTTATTACTATCGGAATGTATTGATAATGTTTCATTAGTGATTTCATATGGTAGTGGATCATTGATCGTTGGTTGAACATCGAGTTCTTGATAGATATCTATTGTTGTTCGTTCAGATTGACAGATTTCTATTGGATTTCTATCATCAATATTTGATTTTGTGCTAGATTGTTCGTTAAGATGAGTTTCTACATCCTTAGCTACAGTTCGTAGTTCAGTACATAGATTTAAAATTTTTTCTAAATGTGAAACAATTAAATTGGATTGTTCCGATTTTTTATGTTCTACTGAAAAATCTAGTTCGGGTTTATCATTTGATGATACGGGAGTTTTTAATTCATTATGATATCTATCTATACTAATATGATCAGCTGTTTTCGGTAATGATTGTTCATGGGGGGAAGATATATATTTTTTCGATAAAGATATTTGATCAGGTTGAATATCTGAGCAATCATCTTGAGATTGAACATCATTGTACCGATCAAAATATTTTCGTTTTAGACTTGTATGATGTTTATCATTCGTTGAATGAAGACTTCGTTGTAATTTAAGCATATTTATTTGATCGAATGCATAGAAATGATTTTGACTATAAGGAGGTTGAATACAATTTTGCATTGTTGATAAAAACTGATCACGACGAAGGCGTTTCTTGTGTATCATCTGAAATATGATGAAAAGTTATACAAATATTGAATTAGAAAGAGAAAAAGTGTTAGGACTCGACGAACATTATTACATTCTCTAGGATTAATTAGCTTTATGTTTCTCATTGAAATCCTAAAAGACAGTTTATGACTTACAATTAGAGGTTGAGATAATGATTCATATTGTGGATTAATATCGTTTGTAGTAGCATTACTTGATAATATAATTTGATTTGGTTGAAATTGTAAAGGCATATTATGAGGTTGATTTATAGAAAAATTTGAATATTTAGTTTGAGGATGAATATGAACAGATGAAAAATAATCGGGTGATTGATGTTTATATAAGGGGGATTTAATGTATACAGGTAATCTAAATGATATCTATATACATTCGTAATTATCCTATTAAATTTACCGATTTAAAGATGTGTCACTTTTTGTGGGCAAATTTGATAACCATGAATTACATTTATCGGTTCTTCTAAAATATTTTTTATTACGTTGAATATGAGTCGATGATTGATGATAGTCATCAACAGCATTTCCGTTACTGTTGTGAGTTTTATGATAAAAATTTCTATTAAAAGTTACATGTTCTAGAAGTCTAGATGCGGCTTGTTGAGTAACATTTCCTTTTAATGTAGATGAGAATAAATTAACATTTCTATATTTAATAGATTTCTCATCTAGAAACATCTAGTGGTTTAGATTCAATTTCGATAGTTGAAATAGGAGTGACATTAATCAAGAAAATAGAATATATATTGAGAAAATATAATTAAAACGAAAATGATTTTATTTTCAATCGAATTACAAAGAAAGCAATCTTGGTGCGAAATATAAAGAATTTATTTGTGTTGCTAAAGAAATAAGAAATTCTACTTAACTGTTGAAACCTGACGTTTACGAATCAAATATTCAACATTAAATACAGTAATTATATGAAGATGCAGCTTGCAAAGACATAAATATGCGTATCTATTCGTTCAAGTTTCACCATTGTCTTGATTGATAAAGGTGATCTTGGTTCTAAGTGTTTTTCTCCTCAACAAAGTTTTAGCCACATAATACTGTTTTCTTTTTCATTCAATAGATTCCAAAGAATTGCTCGACTGTACTAATATTTCTTAAGATAATAGCTACCGGTTTTATCAAAACTTGAGCGATGAATTATCTCCCAGATCGAACAGTTCGGCCTGGAAATGGCCGGTGTAACGAACAACTTGATTAGAGTAGCCTGTGCCACTCTCGGCAAAGATGTTTATTAGGCTACTTCAAGTTATCCAGAGTGTAACGACAAAACTAGAGAGTGTCGCCTATGCCCGTCGGCATGATGGTGTATTGTATCATCTGACATCTCCAGAGTGTAACAANGTGCCACTCTCGGCAAAGATGTTTATTAGGCTACTTCAAGTTATCCAGAGTGTAACGACAAAACTAGAGAGTGTCGCCTATGCCCGTCGGCATGATGGTGTATTGTGTCATCTGACATCTCCAGAGTGTAACAACTTCATACATAACGCACGTATATATAGGAGAGAGATAGAAGAGAGATACATTAGAACAATGGAAAGAGAACAGAAAGAGAAGGAAGGAGAATCATCGAAGCGTGCCATCAATATCGGCACAGCCGGTTCCGGTTAGTTCCATTGATTTTGTGGAAGCAGTGTTCCGGTTGGAAAATTTTCGGATTTTTTCCGATGATTTCCGATCGATTCCTGCCGGAAAGCACCGGAACTTGACAAGAATCCGCCGGAAAAGTCCTGCCGTATTTCTGATCGGAATACTGCTTCCATGTTCCAGCGATTTCCCGTGTTTTCCTGCACGATATGGTGACTTTCCCGCATATTTCCTGGAGTATCCTACGGGATCCGGTGGCCGGAATGTTCGACCTGGGGCTCAGGTACTGCGTTCTGTAATGCTCGTTCAACCGATGACTCATCTCTCCGTAGAGAGGTATAAATTCTATTTCATTCCATGCATACTCATAAACTAATACTAATTGGTAATTGTTGCAGTTTAATTCTGGGAATGACAAATATTACTGAATTCTGTTCAACCGCAATTCAAACCATAAATATATATATATATATATATATATATATGCTTAAAAAGCTGTATTCAATCGAACTATCAACAATAATTGCATCTAGAATGAATGATTTATCAAATGTTCACGAAAATTATTAACTCAATTTTGAAAAGCGCCGTATAATCAACTATCAAGCGAAGAACTAAATGCCTCGTGCAATAATTACAGTATCATCTTATGAATATGTTGATCTGAAATTTATTACAATAAACAATATCATTATTTAACACAAAAAGAAAAATCGCTTGACGAAATGAAAGTACAGTTCTTAATTAATTAGCAACATTCCGTGTACAAAGAAAGCGACATTGACAACAGCATAAATGGAAAACAGGTTATTTTCTTAAGCGCTTTACAGTAACAAATACTTCTTTTATTGCGTTGAACAACAGATGTTGATACTCGTGTAACATGGTATGCATCATGGAAACTGCATTCTATCAGTTGCTTAGTTTTAGTTTCGCTTATTTTATTCAATAGATTTCAATTGTCATTAGGCCAATAACAAAAGAGACATATTCTACAATATGTATAGCATTTAAAGGTAATCTCATATTTCTTTTTATAAAGCTTGTTTTTAATTTCGTTTTTAACTTCCCCAGGAGAATGAATCCGATATCGGATTCGTCAGGATCTGATTGGATCCAACCAGCCTATTTAATTAATAAACCATTAATTAGTACGTCAAGCCAACATTAGAGGGTAGTCCGAATAGAGCGTTGGATCCGACGATTAGTCAATGTTACTCCGACACTAGGGATCCGATAGAAATTCGTTCGTTTATTGGAAATTCATATAAAATCCGATCGGATTCCCATAGGATTTTATGGGTTCCGATTGTCGAAATGATCGCCCTGGGTTAGTCAAGTATAGTAAAGCTGAAGTTTTTCTACAGTCAACAGCAATAGGCATATATATAAATAATAAAGCCATTTGATTTACCATTTTATCAAGCATAAAAAGTATCTATCATTTTTTATCATGCTGTGCAATAAGCTTTGAGCCAATTAATTTCCGTAAATGACAGCGTCTAAAAGATTCAAAATGCATTGATCGTGCAAACAGATCTCCTTGCCCAATCATTCTTTAAATTTAAATAAGTTCGGTTGTATATTTAAAATCTTCTTTCTTCACCGAGAACCGATTTATTTTCAATGATCTTATTAATAATTTATAAAATAGATAATTTGTGTTTAAGTTAGGCAAATGATATCTGGCTGTAACACATTCCTTCTTCCCAAACAATGAATCCGATATCAAACCCTATGGGATTACTGGTTGACAAGCTGCTAACAGATTCGATAGTTAAATCCAATTTAATTAGCTGAATCCTTTTTGTAGTACTGAATACTAAAATTAGAGTTCAATCACAAAAGGTACTTTCGCTTTTATCGAATGCGACGATGAGATGATATTGAATTTCAATATAAATGATGCTCTTGACTTGACAACATATTCGTCTGGTTGAGTAGCTGTCTAATTCGAGTTCGAATATAAATGGAGAAAAGAAAAAGTTAAACTTAAACTAAATATAGGAATAGATTTAGTTTTAGTTTTATATTTAGTTTAAGACGGAGTGGGTGTGGATTGGAGAGGACTAAGGGGTAATTGTGGGTGGCGGTGTGAGTGGGGAGGTGAGTAGGAGGGATACCCGGAAACGATGCGGAGGTGGGGGTACCCAGTGTACTTTAAATGTGGTTGTGGGCGATGGATACCATGGAGGAGTGCTCACATGTGGGTGCGGGTGAAGGGTATATATGTATTCATATGTCGCATATATCGGAAAGTTAAACAAAAACTAAATCTATTCATATATTTAGTTTTAGTTTAACTTTTTCTTTTCTCCATTTATATTCTAACTCGAATTAGACAGCTACTCCTGATCTTACACGATCTTGTAAGATCTTTGTCTGATGTTTTGACCTGGGTATGTTGTAGGACAGATTAAAATTCAGTCAGATTAAAATCGATTGAAATAATTTTGACCTGAACTGGTTCAGTTTAAAATTCAACAAAAAAGATTTTAAGCTGAACTAGTTCAGATCAAAATTATTTCAATCGATTTTAATCTGAACTGAATTTTAATCTGTCCTGCGACATATATATAAGATCGGTTGTTACATGTTAGACGAACAAGAAAAAGAAGAGGAAATATTCGACAAATTTTTTTCTCGCATGGATCGGTCAAGTGATGACTGGTCGATTGGGAAAAATCACTTATAGTCACTCGTTGAACACATGTGCGCGAGTTATGAAGTCAATATCCAATACACTATGTCGCGTAACATTTGACTTTATTGAAATCATCAAACCGAAATGAAATACGTCGCGAAGAGAGGAATAATGATCTTTCAAAGATTCGATATGCAAGTGTTACAAACAATCGTTTTAAAATTTATCATATATGTCACATTTTCTTTGGACGAATATGGTCTCAATAAAAAAAAATGCCATAATGAACATTAAAATCCTTTTATCTCTAATACACACGCATCCTATAAATATATTCTATAAATACACATAACCGTAATACAATTAATTCTATACTTATAGTCACTTATAGTGCATTTATTTTCAATGCTGTAGGGATATATGAAACACTTATTTGATAAGAACCAATCTATGGATAAACTATTTTGTTTTCTATATATGTATCAACATTCTTATGCAATGATTTTGGTGTTGAACTTAGTATTATGCATAAATATAAGACTAATGAATAAAGTTGAAATTAATAAAATATGTCTTCATTAATTTTTAATAGTTAATAGAATTTCTCTTGTTTTCGATAGTCTAAATGTTGATTTCGATAAACTTGATAAAAATAATATAAGCTAAATGCAGATATCGCTATCAAACATATGAACTATTAAGCCTACTCAAAAACCATTATCGCATCAAGAGCTCATTTTCTTTCGTGCTCTTAAATTAGTGAGTAAAATTGATATCATATATAAATAAACATTATTAGCATTATTTAACTTCGAAAAGATTATTCTAATGTAAAGATATTTCGAAAATATGTTGATATCAGTTATATACTTTATGATATCAAGCAATCTATATTGTTATTTTATTCGCTTCCATACTTTACCTTCTTCGTTAATGTCATGTAGTCATATGTTGATAAGAATATATTCATCGACATTTCGTATTTCGATTTAAAACTATTTGTCGATGGATATTGTAGTTGTTTGTCTATTTGCTTTGCTTAGTGCTTCTCGATATCCATGTCTTGCGACATCATGCAAGTACGAATAAGACTTATATTCGTTGAAATAATCAATTATGTTTTCAATCGAAAATTTTCTTTCATTTATTAAGAACAAATTGCACCAATAATGAAGAGTGTTGGCGTGAAGCTTTAGCTTATCGTTCATCAGAATTAATCAAACAATTATTTTCATTTAGTAGTCTTGCCGTTCATGTCGATACTTTTCAACGAGAACATTCCAGTGAAGTTTGTAATAAATTTCTTATTCGTTTTTGTACTAACATATTTTATTATTAACACAGCTAAACAATAGTATAGCATTTATTAACAGAACCCTTGAGAATTATTTATCAGCTGAATCAACTGCCAATAATCTAACTATGGATTTATTTAAAACAGCCAAAAAACTTCTTATTGACCATGTAACGAAAAATATTTTTTTGAGTTAAAGAAAATCTTTCATATATCTTTGTTCAAGTGTGCCAATTTAACAGTAAAACCCATTGAATCAATCAAAGAAATGCCATCATTAACATGTACACCATCATCATGTTTTGGAAATAAATTATCTTTTAAAGTGATATTGATAATTACCATACTTATAACTAGTTTGATGCTTGTTATATGTACTGTTCAATTCTTTCAAACGTACAAACGAACAAAAGCTTCAAAATCAGTCTCACCACGTCTCGCAACGTCAAATTCAACATCTATTAATAACACAACTGTCGCATCTAAATCTTCTACATTTTAATTATGAGAAAAACTTCTATGAAATCTGTTGATCAAATGCTTTTTTAAAATGACTATTTTATTCTAATAGTTCAATTATGCATTTGATAATAAGCTTTTTTATTGTTTTGAATTTTTTTCATCTTAGATATAAAAATGCATTGGAATATCGGAGTGATTTCGATATTTCTTTGCACGATTATAGCTGTTTGTGGACGTCGAGATGCATTTGAAACTAAATGCAAGTAAGAGATTAGTGTTTTTCTTTTAAACAATTCAATTCTATTAGAGAATTTCTATAAGACGAACTTGCAATACTTTGTACGGTTCACTTGGTTGTTGGTCAGAAACAGCTGATGGCTTTGCCTATGGTTTATCCACAGCGATGATTGACTATTGTCAAGTGATATTAAATATTCGTCTTCTTACTAGTGAAACCGTTAGTTATATGTTTCTATGATTCCTTGAGTAAAGTTCATTGTCGTTTTGACATATTAGGGTAGTTGGTATAATGCTAGTCATGCAATACTCGCAGAACAAATCAAACAATATTCACTTGAGGATAAAGACGATGCTAAACAATTAACAAAAGAAAATATCGAACAAATTGCAACTTCCTTGTTAGAAAGCGTAAGTATTTTCATTTTGAATAAATAACCGTAAACTGTTATCTCTTTACATTAGTGTTTCGATTCTTCATCGCCTATTACTTTAACTGAGCCATCATGTCCATCGTGTTCTGAAGAACAATTGAAAATAATAAAACAATGGCGTCTTTCCTCTATAATAATTATCTCAATTGGTGCACTATTCTTTTTTATAACTGTATTTTTATATGCTTTTTATAATCATTATACTAATCGTTCTTATACACCACTTGCGTAATAAACAATTTTTATATTCATTATCGAAAACATTCTTTGTTTCTAAGGAAACTAATAAAATATCGAAGCCCATAAATAATATTTTTTTTTCTTCTTGGCAAAAATAGAGCGCAAGCAAAGGGGCACGAAAAAGGAGCATTATGAAATAAAGAAAACAGAAAAAAAGAAATCAATAAGATAGAACGAGAAAAAAAGAAATTTGTTGAAAATGTGGGAAAAAGACAAGAAGAGAATATTTTTATATACTTCCTTCTGTTATTCACATTCGAAATTAGGTACAACTGCATCTTCTTTAGCTGTTATTTCGTCAATGTTATTATTATTATTATTATTATTACTCGTACTACTATTATTATTATGATTTAATACAACTAAATCTTCATTGAGAGACGAATTGGTGATCGATGTATTCATCGATATTGTCGATGCATTTCTATCTTCACTAAACCAAACATGTCCAAGTATATCTTGAGTTAAAAGACGTTCTTCAGGTTTAACACGAATCAGTGATCGAAGTAATGAACGTGCTTTCAATGATATTGTTCGAGGAATATCAGGACGACATCGTCCAATTTTAATAAATAATCCAACCAAAGTTCGATCACAAAATGGGTATCGACCAAAAAGCATTGTATATAAAATAATGCCTAAAAATAAGGAGGTTTATTCTTTCACAATCATATGAGTATAATGAGTACCTAGGCTCCATGAATCAGCCATTTTGCCTGAATACATCTGTCTATTAAGAACTATTTCTGGACAAGCATAAACTGGACATGAAAAACGTGACGATACTAAATCATCTGTTGTTGTTGGAGTGGAAAGCATGATAGCTTCATCTATTCCAGTTAATAATAAATGTGTATTATTATTATCATTAAATATAATTTTACGTAATTTTAAATCTCGTACAATTAAGCCAACACGATGACATATTTGTACGGCACGTACAATTTGAGAAAACAAGTTTCGTGATTCATTTTCATTTAAACGATGTTTTTCAGTTATATACTGATGAAGATTGTTGGTATAATTTGGATAGAGAACAACAGCTGTTCGATCAAGTGATATTATATCACGAAAAAAATGTATATGATATTTATTAGCCAATTGTTCTAATGTTAATTGTGAATTTTTATTTGATAATTGTAGTACGGATATAAGACGTTGATAGGGCTCTAGCCGTTGACGAATGACTTCAAGTGAAAATTCTTTGTATAGTAATGCTTCGCCCGATGGAATATGACGAGCACATTTAAAATCATCTAATTTCGTTTCGCTTAGTTCATATTCACCGATAACACGTACAGAAGGTAGTAGTGGGAGATTTGTTGTAGCTAAGGCAGCAAACGGATTAAGAAGATGAATGGCATCAGGCGTGAGAGGACCCGATGGATCAGCTGATTGTGGAAATGGTGTTGATGAATTGGAATTTGTCGGAGATGAGGATAGTTGTGTTAATAAACGCAGATCACCATATTTAGCAGATGATGAATGACGCGATGTTTGAGACGACGAAGAAGAAGTAGACGAAGAAGACATTGTTTAATGGAGTGAAGAGAGAGAGAAAAGTGAGCCAAAAAAAGAAAATGACGAAGTTAAGAGAGTTAATAGAAAATAAATTAAATTGATTAGAATTGTTCACTCGTATCTGACTTCAGTATCGGTGAATTTTCAGAAGCAGCATTACTAGAATAAAAAAAACACATAATCTAATTAGTTTGACTAGCTAATTTTGCAAATAAATATAACATGTATTTGTATACAAGATAGAAAAGAACTTTCTTTTTGTTGTTAAATCAAACTATTATTGCGCAAGTTATCGTGAATTCTAAGGGTATGGTTACTTAATCGTTTGCTAGAGTTAGAAAATTTGTGTTACATAACCGACTTTGTTTCCTCTTACTTATCTCAGCTCATGCAAAAAATTGAAGAAATTTTAGTTTATTCTTTTGTAATCAATCAGAAACTGATTCAAGGACATGAGAAAGTTTGATCAAATGCATTTTTCTTCTTCTGATCCTTGAGGATACGACTCCATTAATTACTACTTATCATTAATCTCGATCTGTTTAGTTGTTGTTCAATTGCAAGGAAAACAGAAGACACATTTTGACAATGCTCTTTCTCTAGTATTCAATGAGAATATTAGGCAGTTGATTGCATTAGTCGTAGTTGTTTTCCGTTGCCATACATCTGTTTGCGGCAGTATGTGCGCCCGTGACCTTCCACTCGTATATTATGTCGACAGGGACAGTGTCTCGCTCATCTTTTTCTTTTGTCAACGTTGAATGGATATTGCGTCATCATCCTGAATGAACAGAATCTATTTGTCAAAATTTCTATTTCTCGATCGTATCAAATAATATGCTAGATAAAGACGAGACACAAATTGTTGTCAAGCTGACGAAACAGCATTATGAACTCAAAGAACAAAATGACCTTACCCATTTTGAATCATATTTGTATTTACAAGTAAACCAGAGCCAGTGAATTCAATTGCCGAGAGACCAGAAAGTAAAACCGATTTAGCCAAGGATCCAGAAAAATTTGCAGAGCCGTATGAATGTTTAGATATGTTACATGCCATGTTTGTCAATGTTCAATAATATAAATAAAAATTTACTCAAGTTCTATTTCGTTTGTTTATCTCAACAAATTTTTAGTCAAACTGGTTTTTCTGCTCCTTGACGATTATTGTTTTCTATGTAATGGCTTCTCTCTTTTTTGTATTGCGCGCGTGTATAGACAAGAAAGCGAGCAGGAATGAATTTATATACCCAGTCAATGGCGTCTTTTCTCTTTTTATATTCGTTCTTCGAAGGAAGAAAAAGCAGCTAACGCTACCAACACTGAAGTGACACGCAATACTAACATCCAGTTTTTTTTTCCTTCTCTTATTACCCTCTCCGCCTCTTTTTTCTTACCCGCTCCGTCGTTTTTTCCTCTCTCTCTCTTTCTCTCTCTCGAAGTTTTAGAGATTGCAACAAATAATGACGACGCTAGACATCATCGTCATGTTACCCGTTTACTAATGCTGAAATGATAAAAAGAACAATACTGAAAAGAAAAAAAGTTCGCCAAGATACACGTGTAGAAAGGGAAGAAAACAAGCTGATGAAACGTCAAATATTGATGAATACCCATAAGATTATGTCTCAGAAACGATAAAAAGGCTGCACTACGCAAATAAAAATGACTCATGGAAAAAATCATGATGAAACTGTGTTCTTCAACTTCCATGATTTAATAAAAGTTGAAGAAAATTTCGTCATTCTTTTATTGATCTTTCCTGGGAAAAATGACTAATTTCCGAGTATGTCGTCATGTGTTACGCTGTTATCATCATCATCCTTTCGGACATTGTCCAGAAATTTATGTCTATAATTTTTTTTCTCTCTATAAGAGAATCATTATCACATAAACTAATAAATGATCTTAGTAAGATTCATAAGTGACATTATATTATCGGGTTTTTTGATTATACTGCTTCAACGAAGACGGTACTCACAAATGAACATTCTAAGTAACTCAGCATTGTTCGATGATATAATAGAGACACATATGCACACACACACACTTCGATCATTTTCAATGGATTTGAAAGAAACAAATTTATCCTGTTCCCATACGTCATCTCATGCTCCCTTTCTCTCTCTTCCCCTCGTTTCTTTTTACATAATCATTAGAAGAAGAAAAAAGATGTTGTAACAACATACAGCTCTACTTTATTGAAGTGACTAGTACGACAATTATTAGCATTTGACTGGTGATAGCTTGATCTAGGCATAACACATTTTATGTAACTGCTCTTACACTTATATCTTCTTTACAATAGACATTAGATTCGAAAGTATACTAAATGAGCGATCCATCGTTATCGATTACGCAATTTGTAAGGAACTATAATCATATTACGAAATAGAATGAATGAATGAATGAATGTATATACATATATATAAAAAAGTCAAACATACACACAAGGGAAGCACTTGCCACTAGTAAATGGACGCGGCGACGTGATTTACGTAATTGACTAAGGTTATGTAAAAAAAGGAAGAGGGAAAGAAAGACGACGTCGTCATCAAGGACAAGGCCATTGGTTCATGATGATATTCTTTCGTTCTTAGGTAATAGCGGAAGTAGCTTAAATGTTTGCTCTTGAACAGCAATGTGATGACGAAGCTCTTTGGGCAAAAAAAAAAGAATGCGTTTGACGTATTCATGTTAAAGGTTATTCACAAAGATCAATATTGATAAAAATATAAGTGTAGTTAATTATAACTATTTGATGAAAGATGTAACGATTAAAATTGTAATAACAGTAGCAAAATCCAAATGCCTTTAATCAATTATCATTCATGATTCATATAATGACAATGCATTTAAAAAACACTTGCAACGATTTCTAGTTTTGAAATAAATCTCTCCAATTATTTCTTCCCACTGGAGAAAAACGACTTCAATATTCATACGAGTGAATTACATGGGTCTTGCACAATTCTATCGTACGTCTTGGTTTCATTGGTTCTGTCAGTTGACTTGCCCTGTTCTTGCGAAATTATAGAAAAACGCAAAATAAGGGGTGCATACTACACAAGGGCAAAAATAAATTTCGTAACTTTTGTGGACAATTAGAATAACATTTTTCATGTCAAGTCTTTTCTTCAATGGTTTACATTTATGTAAACAGTAGTATCGTATCGGGAAACAGATGTTGTGTAACTGAGCTGTAATAGAGATATACAGCGTACTGCAAGTCTATCCTCGAGACGGTAAAGGTACTCAGTCAGTCATTTAAATGAGAATTCTTTTTCCAAGAAAACAAATCGTGCTTTTTGTTCAAATGCATGCGTTTGAAGTAGATAAAGAGAGAAACACGGCTACGATCAACTAAAAACAGCAGTACGTGTAGAGTAGATTAGTTCCATTTATCATCGACTTACAGTGTCTTGATAGCAATTCTTTTTAAAAACAATTTTTCATACGTGAAGCAAAAAACATAAAATTTCTCATGTTTAATAATATTGACTTCATCTGTAAAACATCTGAAATTATACTAGAATCACAGAAGTCAAGAATGACTATCAAACAGTAATGAATTCGAAGTTGAGTACGATAAAAAAAAATACTTTATTCAACGATTCGATTGCTATTCACTAGCCATGTACTAGAAGACGAAAAAAAGGTTAATCTAAACAGTGATGCAAGCAAATAGTTTATATTTGGAGGACATGACAAAGTAGAACAATCCGTAATGTAGGACATATGATTGTTAAAAGAACTTTAACAGAAAACAGCTGTACAGTTCTGTCTTAATAAATCAATGATTCAATCTTTGCATGAACTTGTTATCTTGTTTGGCACAAGAAAAAATTGTTGACGAAATCTGTACCGCAATAAAATATGAATCCGAATGCAAATCACAATTAAATTACTTCATTCTAAGACTAGTTAGTTCACAGTCGTTTTACTTTTTTGTTCCGAAATGAAGCATGACATGAGGGTGTGGGTGTGGTTGAGGCGGTCACCGTGTTCTCAAAACAAGCAACGCTACTAAAATAATTAGAAAATCTTCTTCGTAAGTTCTAAACTACTTTTCGTTTATTATGCATGCCTAATTTATTTGTCCGAGTCACTATTTTCCTTTAATATTAACATGATAATGCAATTAGTGCTAGTTTCAGCTTCACACTACAACGTTCGGGCTGCTTTAAAAAAAGAGCTTTTGTTCTTCTATTACAAAATTTTCGACCAACTATCAGCGACCAATTTTCGTAGACCCCATTGCCGGTTAGGGGAAATAGTGTAACTATTTGTCTCGATGCCTTACAAACATTTATTCGTTTAAGATGTATATTAAAATTTTTGTATATAGACAATGATCTTCTTAGAAGAGAAAAACTGGTAGATTCTACAAGTTCGATGCATTAAACTAACGTAAGCTGCTTACCTGATAGTTTTCATCGAGACATGAAGAATTCATAGCGTTTCTGTCCAAGAGAAAGCCCAGAAAATGTTTTGGTCTTGTCTTACTTTTGCTGAAGCAGATGATTGTTGTTGATAAAAACTTAGCGTTCCTAGATTTACTAAACTTGTAGAAAACAAGATAACTCTATTCGTCTCTTAGGTTACACGTGCAGTTCATCAATTTTTTAAAAATTTTGATTTTCAATAATAACATATTTTTTATTGTTTTCTTTTTCAATCTTAATTTCTGTCTTCAGTGTGAATATGTTTATGGAATCATATTCTTCATCTTCTCAATCGACAACAAACTGTGTATATGATGATAAAAAGAAGATACATTAACAAAAAAAGAAAAGAAAAATGACAAAAAAAAGAACCCGTTAATTCATTTAATAAAGAATGCTCAATCATAATCACCTAGAATAGGACGAAGAAAACAAAATATGATTTTGATTTTACCTTCTCATTCGAGACTTACTGTAATCGATTGGTTCAGCATCTTCATCAACATTCAAATTTTGTAAATCAACTTTATAACGAAGAATACCTCCAACACCGCCAAAACCTCGAACGAATTGTGAACCTTCTTGACTTTTATCAGTAACAATTTCAAGTGTTGTACCTTGAGTGTTTATAGAAAATATGAATATTGAAAATAAATTAATAAAATCTTTTCATTTTTACCAAAAGTTTTATAATTATTTGCAAACCATTCCAGTAAAGGCATTTCTTCCACATGTTCTAATTCTACACCTGAATCTTTATCTTGAAAATGTGATTTTTCTTTTTCTTGATCCGCCCGTAAAAACAGGGTTTTCGTTTCTTGTGTTTGTGCATTTCGTAACACATAACGCATAACATCAAAATTTTCCCATACAATTAAGATTTCAACGGCACCCATTTCAAGAGCTTTAAGTGTTTCCTCAATACCGAAACAATATTGTCCAGAATCTCTTGATACCTCCTCAAAATACCGAGCTTAATAAAAATGAAAAGAAAAAATCATTCGCCCATGAAATCATTTCAAGAGTTTATACATACAAATAAGTTTTTTTTCTTGAATAAATTTCACATCACCAAGTGTTTCAGCTGCTAATTCAATAGCTTGATTGAAACCATTTTCCCCACCGTATGATATATCAACTCGCTTAAGTACTTTAACTTGTAGACGCTTTAAAATTATAATTAATAAAAAAACAAGCAAACATCATATAATGAATAAATGCATATATTTCATCTTACTGGATCAAACATATCAGATTGATGAAGTTCAGTTTTAAAGTCAGCCAATCCAGCAAGAATCAATCCAGTTACATTTACTTTATCATCTGTTATGAAACATTGTACAGCTGTTTCAGCAACTTTCCGCACGTAATTGTGACGTTTTTCCATACGAAGTCGAGCAAATCGAAGAGCACTTTGACCACCACGGCCATGTTTTTTGGGTAGATCAACACTAAATTTTGTTATAACTTCTCGAGAATTACCTTGCAATGTACCAAATAATGCACCATTACCATCCATAATGATAAATCCAAATCGAGAATCATCAGCAAGTAAGGCTTGTAATGCCTGGAATAATTTCAATTGATCATAGAAATAATATGAAGAGGTATCTTT